AGATTTGATATAACTTTGGGATTATATTTGATTCAAGGGGCCGGCATTTTGGCACATACGTTCTCGGGAAAGCATGAAAAATATCTCTGATTTCCAACAGATTCTACTACATTGGATCCTGTAGATCATGTTCTTTGTCACTTTCAATGTACAGTGAGGATGTGAGGCTGAGAGGCTGCGGTTGATAAAATGCAGCCTGTTACTCTGAGCTGTGAGGTCAATGATTCAGCCGAACATGCCACCTATAATGGATACGTTATTTTCCGAGTGACCGAGGCCACAGTTTGTGTTGCATAGCCCCAGATGCTACACGGCCAGTGAAGGAGAACATTTGTGGTAACAAGATCCATCATACACTACAACTTAGGAACAAACAAGTCCTTGCAGCGCTTGCAAAACAAAAAAAAACAAAAAAAAAGTCAGAGTGAATGCTGTATTTGCTCAGTCTGATGAGGGGGAAAGTATTGTGCAGAAGAAAAAGCATGCACAATTAAATGCGACTTTTATTCAAGAGGTTGGAAACGTGGAACATTTTTATTTTTACTTCAAGCTTACTGTGATGTCACTGTGCTTTTTTCCACTGGCAAATATCTACTCTATGCCAGCCCACTGTATAACTTAACATACTCTCAGAAAGTTTGTTGTTTTATTAAAGGAAACTAGAGTAAACATGTAGTTTAATGCCGTCATATTGTAGAGTTGGGAAAGTCTACACTCTGTGTGGTATTGATTTATTTATTTATTTTTTAGTGATCAAATCCACTTAAAAGGTTGTCATCCTCTAAAGATACAAAGACAACTTAATGAGCGGCACTTAGAAAACCTGACAAAAGAGAACCATTATAAATTTTCCCTCTAGTTTAACTCTCTGTCAGACAGTGTGTCATCCAGGACCTGAAAGTAACAGCAGAAGAGGACAGAAGAGACAAGGAGGGAATACAGAGTTAGATGGGGGCACACTTCCTTTCTTGTTGCGGATGGATCTTCAAAAAGTTTTGGCGTTCCAGGCTGCACACTGACAGAAAACTGACCTTGACTGAGTCACATCCACAGAGCAACGATCCCAAATGATGATCGCATTTACATCTCCGTCCATTTCCTCTCTTACGATGCCTCTGTGACTCTTATGTTTTATTTTCTGTCATCCTGTCCTTGTTGTTTGGCTTTTTTCACTTTCATGGAGTTTCTAAGCATAACTTAGCCACAGATTCATACTCGCGGACGCTGGCCGCTTCCCCCTCACCCTCCGTACATCTCCAGTGATTCTCGAAAACAAAAGCTTTATGTTTTCACATCCTCAGAAGCTCATGAGGTGGAGTTCACTGAAATGAACATGAGGATGACTGGATGGGTTGTGTGGCCCTGAAACCTCTGATTATGTGTGGCCAAATAATCAGTGTCGCACTGCTTTTTATTTTGAGCAAACACAAACTGTATTCTAGTAATTTTACTCTGCGCTTAAACTATTTTTGCTGTGTACCTTCTCTTGTTCAGACATCGATGCCCCAACAAACTTTGTCACTACTGAAGTAACTGAAGACACTGCAACCGTCTCCTGGGATAAAGCCCAGGCGGAAATCGAAGGCTACATGTTGAGCTACACGTCTGCTGAAGGCTCCAGCTCGGACATCTTTGTAGGGCGTGACAGCACCTCCTACAGGCTGGTTGGTCTGAGGCCTGGGGTCCTCCACACGGTCTACATCTGGGCCTTCAAGGGAGACAAAGTCAGTGGGAAGAGTTCAACTGAAGCCGAAACAGGTAAACGTTGAGAGAGACTCCCGGGCCTGTTTTGTGAGCTTGGTTTGATCTTGTGTCCTCTGTAAGCTCTGTAAGCTAACATTTAGGTTAATGCTACTCGTGTTCGGTTCACAGCTAAGGTAAGAAACAAACTAAAAAGCTGTTGATTTTGATTCTGCATTCTGGATCATTGCAGCGTTAAAAGAGACTTAAGTCTTTTCACACTGTCACCCAAATTCACATAATGACATAAATAATGTTTTTTGATAACTAAAAAAAAGACAAATAATCTAAGAAGTTACATCCTGTAAAATACATCTATGATCTTTTAGTTTCTGGGTTTTCTACAATTTTTCACTTTTTGTTGTCATAAAAAGCCCAATAAATGGGTGTAGACATTTCACATCAACCACATTAACCTTCCCTGTCCTAAGTGAAAAAGAAAAGTTTGACCTTCTTCTTACAAAAGGTATTTTGTTATCATTAGTTATATCCTTTATTTGAAAGCAATTCCCCCAGCCTGTGTCTGAATGTCTGTAAAAAGTTTGAAAGTTTAACCGTGTCAATTTTCTTCTGAATTATCTTCTCAATTTGAAAAAGAAAAGCTTCTGATAAGTTAAAGCTTTGGCACAGTTAGTACATTTTCAGTTGTTTACTGGTGTCTATCTGTACTTTTTAGTAAATACATTACCTTATATCTATTTTGTGACATAAGAAAAATCATAAGGAATAGGTTGGAAATGGAGTTAAATGGTTTACTTGCTTAGTATTTGCATGACTTTTTTAATTTAACATAGTTCATAGTATGCCCATGATATTGCTGCTACCACAACAGTAATATGATGTCAGAGTTGGATTTCATCATTTATTAGTTTTTTTTTTTTATAAAAAAGCTGTCCAATTGGGCCACTTTAAAGAAAGCACAACAAATTAGTATCTGATGAAAAATTTAATCTGAATTCTAACACCAAAATTTCCGTTTCCAAGTTTGACGTCATCACTGTTTTTAACCTCATTAACTCATACACCTTGCTAAATCATAGATGTGTCATTTTTATTCCGCTTTGCTTTTTAACAATTAAAGTTATGTCTACTAAATGTAACTTCCTGTGCAGAGTTGGATGCTCCTACTAACCTTTCAGTCGAAGATGAGACAGACTCCAGCTTCAGAGTTTACTGGGATCCCACCGAGGCACAAATTGATGGCTACATGCTCGCCTATAGCTCCGCTGATGGGTCCAGGGAGGAAACCCAAGTTGAATCTGGAAGCTCTTATGCGCTCACTGGCCTTAGGCCAGGGGTCGTCTACACTGTCTACGTCTGGGCTGTCAGGGGAAGCAAAGCCAGCAGGAAGACCTCAACACAAGCCGAGACAGGTTTCAGATCCACAACGTTCTCACAACCACAGCAATTAATCATTTTAATGGCTTGAAGCTTATTTGTTAACCTTGAAAAACGCCTTTCCTCTAGCATGATAAATAGCTGGGTGACATGTTAAGGAAAATAATTAAAAAAAATAAAATTATAGTGGGATGTAAGACACAAGATGGCAAATAAAGCTTAATATACAGCTCAAACTAGATATGTACGTACAAACAAAATCCTTTATACTGATACTAATTACTTACTAAAATCTAAATGTTTCCTGCTTTAAGTCAGCTTTGATTAACAAAATTATTTCTGTTTACTAAATGCCAGAATTTTGAGTGCAGTTTTTATTTAATTAATTCAATAATTTACTTTTTTTAAATTTAGAAGTTTACATATATTTTTCTTAGTAATTAGCATAATTGCCTGCATTTTGACGTTGGTTAAATTTCTTGCATAGTTTTCCTTAATCTTCTTGCAATAATTTGCTGTAATTCGAGCTGATTTATCACCAAACTGGTGCAAGTGGTGAACAATTTAAAACATTGACTCTGCAACCTCCGTGCTTCGCAGTGGGTGTGGTGTTCACAGGCTGGCAAGTTTCTCCTTTGTCCTTCATGGACAAACATGTCAATTTTAGTTTTGTGAGACCTCTGGAAATGTTTAAAAAAACAACCCTGTAATACAGCTGATAATGTTGCTTTTAAATGAGTGGTTTCCTCCTCACCAGCTGATGTTTCATTTAATGTCAGTGCAGCATAATGTAGATAATGAAACTCTAAACAGCATTAATCAGCATATAAACCTAATGTTTTGCATCCACAGCAGTGCTTTCAAATGATTCCGTTGTTGTCATCTGTCAGAAGGTAACAGAGCCATTATGAAACCTTTTGGGCTTTCTTGAGGAAAAGGACACTTTGTGAATGTACATTTCTGAAATTGCTGAAAAGTGGTGAAAAATAAATATTTTCTCTCATTATTCTGGCATTAGAGAAATATAAATAATACCGGTGATCCTAACAGAACTAACACACAGAGTGTTTATCCTGGGAAAAATAACGTCCTGCGTTTCTTTCTACATTAAATGTACATCTCTGAGTTGAACTGTATGTTCCATGTCTCAGTTAAAAACATGAACTGAATTGGATTGAGATCTTTTGTCAGTTTGCAGTTTGTCACCCATCTATTTTGTGTAGTTTGCTTTAAAGAGCTGTACATTAAATTCACTACCAACATCTTCCCTTAGAGCTGGACGCCCCAGCTAACCTCGTAGCTTACGATGAAACCGAGTCCAGCTTCAGCCTTTCCTGGGATCCAGTTCAGGCAGAAATTGATGGGTACATCCTCACCTACACCTTCCTTGATGGATCTAGTAAAGAAATCCCTTTGGGCCCCGACAGCACCTCTTATTTGCTGACTGGTTTAAGGCCTGGAGTCCTCTACACTGTCTACATCAAAGCCTCGAGGGGAGACAAAACCAGCAGGACAATATCCACACAAGCTGAGACAGGTTTCAGATCTGCATCTCTTTGTTTAGAACCATGACACTTCATAATCTTAAGACTTTGTGGCTAATTTCTAAAATTTGCAAGCTTTTTTTTCTTTCTTACAGGGTAAAACTGAGATGATAACAGAATGATGGATAAAACCTATTCAATAAATTAGAATATCATTAAAAAGTCCATTTATTTCTGGAACTTTATCACCAAGTGAAACGCATTATATAGATTAATTACACACAGATGGATGTTTGAAACCCTTTACTTCGTTAATGGTTAATTATAATCATTTTCTGCTTGCAGCTAATGAAAACATGACATTTAAAGTTAGAATACTACATCAGGCCAATAAAAAACAAAAAACAAAGAAACATTTAACGCAGAACTGTAGCCTTAATGAAGAACATGTTTAATACCTGCTTAAAGGTGGTAATTTTCAGAAAGTACTTTTAATCTGACAAATGAGCCTCATGAGAATGTATATTCTAATTTATTGAATGTATAAATTACAACATGTACTTTCAAGAATATTGTTCCCCAGTTGGATTGAGATCTTTGAAACGGTTTTATTTTTCCCACCTGCCTCTTTCATGCATTTTGCTATATAGAAACGTCTGTTTAATATTAGCTACTAACATGTTTCTCTAGAACTGGATGCTCCAGCTAACCTCATAGCCAGAGACGAAACCGAGTCCAGCTTCAGCCTTTCTTGGGATCCAGTCCGAGCAGAAATAGATGGCTATATCCTTACCTACACCTTCCACGATGGCTCTAGTAAAGAGATCCTTGTGGGGCCTGATAGCGCCTCTTATGTGCTGACGGGTTTACGGCCTGCGTTCATCTACACTGTCTACATCAAAGCTGTGAGGGGAGACAAAGCCAGCAGGACAATTTCAACTCAAGCTGAAACAGGTGTCGCATATCAGGCTTTGGTAAACCAATTTTCCCTTTGATTGTGTCCTTGTTTGAACCATTAAGGAATTCAAATGGCCTGCAACTACATTTCTGTTAATCAGGCAACCATGTGTCCCGCTTGTAAACTCGAGAAATGTGCGACCTTAAAATGCATCACTGACCGAACCATTTATAATGTCCATAAAGTATTTTATAGTTCTCCTTTATGAATTCATCTATATTTTTTTCCAACTTCCTCTTTAAGTCATGACGAGCATAACTGTACAAAAAAAATAAATAAGTAAAATAAATAGTCACCATAACTATGAATTAAGTCGAGCTTTAAAGCTGGCTCCTCCGGAGATAACGTCTGCTCAGCCTCATGCACAACTTGTGTTTTTACATCTCTTCTATCCAGGACCTTGACTTCATATCCCTTGAAGTTTTGGTGCATAGTGAAAGGTCTATATTTAAACCGAAATAAAGTCCTGATAATTACTCTGAGTCACCTACTCAAAGTAGGCAGTCCCTGTGATCTCAGACTTTATGGAAATATCAAAAGTTCAATCAGACTGCATGACCGGTTTCTGGGAACGTCTATGTTTAAGTCTCATCTCAGATTCCCACTTGTGTTTAGGTATGGACTTTGTCTTTGCTCTTCCTACATGAATACGCCCCACAGCCTTAAGTCTTCTGCAGCCTCTGGGACATGTGTCACTGCACTCGGCTTTCTTGGACCTTGTGGACATGCACTTGTTTTTATTAAACCTATTTTTAGCTCGGCTGAACAACCGCTCTGCATTCAGTGGTATACAGCCTCTCTACAGCCTTTTAGCACTGTCCACAGTCTTCTTAGAAAACGAGTTGGAACAAAATTAGGATAGCGAAAGCAAAAAAAAAAAAAAAAAAAAAGGATTTATCAAAACAATTTTTTGTGGAAAAAGATGAAAAAGCTATTCAAGCGGTCTGGACAATTTTGCATTCCTCTGTATTTAATTTTCTTGATGAATTGGCTCACGTCTCCCTCAGCTGATCCATGCGGGATCAGAAGGATAATACACATGTCCCAAGATAGACCTGTGATTTCCTTTCATCCTGTCACAACCACAATGTAAGGGAATCTCTTAGAATCGTTCTTACTTTTATTTGGTACACACGTCAAGATACGACTCCCTTGTTGTGTTCTCAGAGAAGTGAGCTCTTTGTACTTGTTAGAGAACTTTATCTCAAAATCTTTTATTCAAAAAGGATGCTCATCTCAGGCATCAAAGTCTGTTTCAGCAGCATCCTTAGAAGGCTGAAACAAGTCTGAACGCCACAACTTCCTCCTCATTAGCACCTTCTGAGATAACGTCAGCAGCAGTTTATTCATTAATCTACAACTTGAGTGTACTATCACTTTTACTCGAATTCCCTGGAGTACCTTTCATCTCACCGGCGCAGAATAGCTTTTGATAGAGGAGGAGGGTAGGATACCTGGAGAAACTTGGCTCTCGGATTAAACGCTAACTCTCAGCAGTCTTAAACGGCCGCAGCGTTTTAGCTTCAGTGATTTGAAATATTCTGCATCTCGACTCAAACTGAAGCACTTCTGGATTAGATTTTTTTTTTCTCATAAAAAGCAAAGATTTAAAAGGATTTGCTTGAGAAATTATTATTTTTTGTGTTTCCTCATGAATCCCTGTCTTGGCAGCGACCAAGATTTTCTTTCATGATTTTTCTTAAGAGCTCCAGAAAGAGTTGTGCAAATTGACGACACAGATTGCAATATTTATTTGATACATCTCAGCCAAATTTCATTACCTTTTTTCATTTAGTTATAGAACATCATCCCCACTCTGTACAGTCACTTTACCATGTTCCTGCCAGAGCTGACGAATACAGTCCATTTAGTCCACACTCTGTCAGTTTCTGCTGGATCCATCTCTGTTCTCGGTGGTAGAGGTTGTCGGAAAAAGTCTTAAGAAGACAGTCGATCCTTAGAGTGCCATCAGAGAAATAGAAACTTATGAATTTAGTCTCGGATTAAAAAAAAAAAAAACAGCAACACAGAGATGACCTCTTACTTGCTGACAAGTCTAAGACCTAAAGTTACACACCGTCTATAGTCCAGGCCATCAAGGAGGACAAAATGTCCCAGAAGATTCCAACAGCAGCAGAGACAGGTTGATATGATAAAGACAGACAGTTTGCTTTTAGTGGTAATATAATTTTAATATTTCTTGAAATGGTCTGCCAGATTAATGCCTTTCTTTCCCCATAATATGTCCAACCAAATTTCCACCCTAAAACCAATTGTTCTGACTGGAAACCGGGAGTTTCACCAGGAATTTTAAAGCTGCATTTAGCACTGCGTCCCGGCTGTTGTTACATACTCAGTTTTAAAGAGATTTTTTATGCTGTTTTGGTTAATTTAAAAAAAAAATAAAAAGATTTCAGTGTGGGACCTCTTAAAAAAAAAAAAAAAAAAAGTATTTTCCAGCCGGTCAAGGTGAAGAACATATGGCATTAATTTTCAGGTAACAAAGGCTCCATAGAGAGTAAAGGAGGCGATCTCGTTGGAGAAATTTTAGGTGGAGAGGCAGAAAAGCCACAACCTGACAGATAAAGAGGATGATTAAATTACTTTCGTACTTTTCAGACCATTGGTCTCATTTTCCTGAAAGAATCTGTGTAATATTCACATCATGTTTTATCCATGCATATTTTTTTTTTTCACCTCTGCCCACAAATCTTCTTTTAATTGACAGAAGAGTTTTGGTGACACCCCAAAACTTTGACTTGTTTTTTTTTTTTTTATTATTTTTTATCTTTAATGCCCTTTGTAGTACAGTATGCACTACAACGTGCAATGGATTTACCTTCAGAAAATCCAATGTTCAACTTCCTTGCTGGTGTCGTGACATTCCTTTTAATATTTTCACACAATGGTCTTTCTTTATGATGCCATCTAGTTTGTGAAGCAAAACACTCGCACAGCTTCTTCTTACTACCGAAATCGTCATAGTTGCGATGGTTCAAGTGTGTAAGCTAACCACTTTTTATGTTGCTTTTGTTGTTATGGTTTCTTTCTTGGTGAGTGGACTTTCATCCCAAGTTTGGTAAAGGAATCTTTTGACTGTAAATAATGACACTCTTACCAGCTCCCTTCCACATGTTTTCCTTTTATTCTGTGCTTGATGGACACAATTCGCATCAAAGCATTCTCTTATCTGGGAGTCCAAACCAACATCCTTCCTGAACATATGGATCATTCAGCATCATTTATTTATTTTCATTTTTATAGATTTCATGGTGTAATTCACCACGAAAGACAGACTGAATCCTAAAATCCCGTTTACAGCAGCGTCCTGGACCCAAAAGCAGCTGAAGGCAGCTGTAAAGAGCAACTCATGCATAACATTTTAGCACATCACAAAACATCAAAGGTCACCAAAATATCTCTGATTTATCTTGATTTTGTCATGATGTCACACAGGTCTACAGATCTACCTGAAATAATTCATGTTAACCAAACAAAGCCATGATGTCATCATTTAGTAATCCCAACTGGCCTATAAGTTTCTTTTTTTCTTATACAATGCATGTAAAGATCTGATTTCACCTGTTCAGACAGAACAAGAGAGGCTGTCAGATTACTTGGTCTTTGCTAGGGCCTTCCATAAACAAAAGGGTACGTAACTCTTTATAGGCCCTTTATGAACTGTGATGTAGTGAACTACTAAATTGCGGAACACAAGTGAACAAAGCTCCCTTTCAACCGAGAAATAATTCCCACAGACGAAGCCAAGTCACTGGTTACGTCTCATAATTCGGCATAAAAAGAGGCTGCACATGTGAGCGGCTGGCAACAGGGCCATCTTTGTATTCGCCAGATGATCTGTAAAATCTCTGGGGAGCTTTAAGTGAAAGCTAACTCTTTTTCAATTAGGCAGTAAATGGCAGCGTTTTAGATGATAAACATTTCATCATAAATAGTCAGACTCCATCAGTGGCTTGAGACCAGCGTGACGCTGACTTCAAACATAAAAGCTGTTGCATCGAAAATCGTCTGGGTTGCATAAAGGGATGTGCTGAGTAAAAGCACCACTAAAATTTTAAAGAACTCCTTTAAACATAAGGGTTATTTTTTTTTTTTAAGGAGAATTTTGTTCACCACCTGTGTTATCAATGATGCTATTTCTCACTTTTCACTCTTTGACATTCTACATAACCTTTTAAATGTATTTTTTGTACAGAAATTAACTTGAACTTTGAATGTTTCTGAAGTGAAACTGCTGAATTGTCTGTGACGATGTCGGGCCTTATGGCGTCGCTTTCTTTAATATTTTGATCCATGGGAGGTTAAAGCCCCCGCTGCTTTAGCTCACCTCACCTCGTTGTATCAAACACAATATTGCAGCATGTGTTTCAAATAACATTTTCAAAGCATTCCAATAAGAGCAAGCAAACCTGCCAGCTTATCTGCAAACTAAAACTGAGCTGGCAGATGCCACATGCTTCTGAGGCACTTCAAGACCTGAAAGTCACACAAAACCCACTTTAGACTTATGAAAAGAGTAATGATAGCTTATCATAAAGAGCTTTAGATCTAAAGACAAACACTAGTAAAATTTAAAACAATGGAAATAATCAAAAGTAAAGAGTATCTTCTTGGGAGTTATAGTCTACGGAGAATTCACTTGAATGGATGCAGCACAAAATATTATCATACATGTGAAAGAATAAGATAATGTTTCTTTGCTGTGATCCTATCTGATTTACATGCATGCCTACAGAAATCGACTCCCCTAAGGACCTAAAGGCTTCAGATGTGACGCAGGATTCAGTTTCCTTGACTTGGGTTCCTCCTCTGGCCGACATCAATGGTTATGTCCTCACTATTAGAGACGAAGAAGGAAAATTACAGGTACTCGGCTGCATGGTTTGTTTTGCGTTTTCTCAACTAAATGGGTACACGTCTTTAAAAGGGACTTGTAAGTGCAGTTCATTTCACTTTAGGGTGCAGGTGTGTCTCGATAACTTAGGGAATTGAAAATTGTGTTTCAGTAATTCAATTTGTGTCTTATTTTGATTCATTAAACACAGTCATGTATTCCAAATGTTAATTTCTGCCATTTTAAAGGGCATTTTAATGTTTTATAGTTGACAAAAATGAAAATTCATTTCTCAGAAAATAAGAATATTATATAAAACTAATCCAAAAAAAAGCACAGGAAGTTTGGCGATGTGCTATACTATCTATGCCAATACTTGATCAAGGATCCTTTTGCATGAATTGCTGCATCACTGCGGTGTGTGATAGAGAAGATCAGCCTGTGGGGTTATCTGAATGATGACGAGGAAGCCTGGGTCACACTGTCTGCATTGTTGGTTCTGGTGTCTCTCGTCTTCCTCTTGACCGTTCCCCACAGATTGTCGATTGGATTCAGGTTGTTCAACTTTGCTGGCTAATCCAGTGATACCAGGGTCTTTCAACTATTTTCTGCTACTTTAAGCAGTATGGGTATATGCCAAGTTCTGAAATCAGTTTGTCTGTACAGATTGTCAGCAGAGTCGAGCCTTAAGTGCTCTGAAGTTTCAAGGGCTTTGCACCAACTTTGAACTTTAGAGAATAGCTCAACACCAGCAGATGGCATGGCTTCCTAAATTATCACTGGCTGTGTAAACTTCACATCGGACCCCATGCCACTTGCATTCTGTGCCGCTCCACTCTTCCCTTGGTCTCAAATGTCGATAAAACTGTGAACGCTCAAAAAAGCACAACTTTTAATGAACGTGTGTGGCGGTCCAAATCAATAGCTTGCTTGAAAGCGGAGTTCATCTTTTTCTAATCTTTTATAACCCATAACTGATTCCTCTTTTTGTAAAAGCTGTGACATTGAATTTAAGTGCTTTGAAAGGCTGACCTCTTGTGGTCACAGAAAAAACAAATCAAGGATGAATAGATTGCAAAAAAAAAGAATGAAAATTAATTTAATCTAAACCATCACTTGACCTGATGATAAGCTTATGAAGATAATTATCATTGTCCATATTGTAAAAACATGTTTTTTTTTTGTTTTTTTTATCTTATTTTACCAGACTATTGAAAATACGCTCGCCTCCAGCAAGAGACGCTTCGCTGCGTCCAAGCTGGAGAGGGGAAAGAGGTACATTGTCACCATTTATGCCTTTAGAGGCAGCAAAAGGAGTAAGGTGGTGGAGACCTTCTTCAAAACAGGTCAGCATTCTTCAACTAAAAACAACTTTCTGCTATTTGTCATTGTATTCTATTTTTTAATATGACTTTCCTTCCCTTTGTTGTTATTAGTTGCTCTGCTGTACCCCTTCCCTATGGACTGTGGACAAATAATGAAGAACGGCAATAAAAACAATGGTGTCTATACTGTCTACATTAATAATAACCAATCCAAGCCAATACAGGTTTACTGTGACATGACCACCGACGGAGGCGGTTGGCTGGTATATTATTTTTGACTGACTTCTCAAATTATGTAGAATTTGTATTATATAATGCAGTTCTGTGAAAAAGCAAACTTCTGTTCTTGCCTTTTTGTCACACTTAAAGGTTTCAAACCATCAGGCTATTTTTTTATTAGACAAAGATAAGGTGAGTAAATAGGATAGGTATTAGAACCAACATTTTGTTGAATTTCACTTGCAAAAGTAACTTAGATCAAACGAGCCTGATAACAAGAATTTGGCTGAAAGCATCTCAGAAGCAACACATCCACAACTTTTCCAGCAGATTACAAAGGAACCCAGAGCAACACCAAGGTCAGAGCAGGAGGTGAGGCGTCCAAGATTTAACCTTTGACCCCACAACCTTTTTTTTTTTTTTTACCCTGTGCGGTTTTTGTGGGTCCCCTTTGTATGTGTGTGTGTGTGTGTGTGTGTGGCTTTGGAAACTAACAGTCTGACAGGACATCCTCCCTGCTTCACCGTTGTCCAACCATGAAATTTGCCACACTCCTCCTGAGAGTCGTGCTGAGACCATGGGAGTGTTAAGACAGAGCATAACACATAAACCGTAGCTCATCAAACAGAACAGAAAGGCCTGTCTCATAAACTGCATAAATCATCTTGATGAGCCATAAGACTTTCAGGAAAATATTTTGTGGACTGGACTGGAATGGAAGGTGTTCAATTCATTATGTTTGGCAACGCTACATATAACGCCTACATTCAAAAATGATGGTGGTAGTTTGATGAACTGGATCTGCTTTTCCTTGATCTAAACCTTTAAGTGTGACAAAAAGAATACAAAAACCAATAAAACATGTAAACGGGCAAATACTTCTTCACCACTTTCCAATACATAAAAATATCGACAAGTTTTACGCCTATTTGAACATGAACTTCTTTTTACATATTTCTAATCCAACATCTGTAAGTAAAAATTCGTTCCTGATGCTTTCAGGTACTTCAGCGGCGTAACACTGGGAATCTGGACTTCATGAGACGCTGGCGGCAGTACATAGCAGGCTTTGGCAACCTGACAGAGGAGTTCTGGATTGGTGAGCGACTTGGTGTTCCTGTTTTGTGGGGTAGAGCTCTATCTGCAGACTATAAAACGCGCTCATATGAGCTGTAATTGTGCATCATGTACTCCCTTCGATTTCTGCATCTGTTTATTCGCTGTCACAGGTTTGGATAAGATACACGAGCTAACCAACACTCCCACGCAGTATGAGATCAGGTTCGACTTGGGCCTGGGCTCAGATAGAGCGTACGCCGTTTACGACAACTTTAAGATCGCTCCGGTCAGACAGAGATTCAAGCTCACCATTGGCAAATACAGAGGGACAGCAGGTGGGTCTCGGCATGTAAAAGTCTGTGTATGTGAGAGCTGGAAGCACTGCTTTCATAAATTATAATTTCTTTTTAACACCCACATACAGTGATGCATACTGAGAATGTGATGGCAGATTTAGAAACAAGACAGATGGGGGCAGTAATTGAGGGGTTTGAAACCCTGTGCACACCAACCATTATGTAAACACACTTTAGCAACGTGTGAGATTTTTGCTTCAAAAGGTTACAGTAAGCCAGACAGAATATTTAAAGAGAAAGGGTTTGTTTTTTGTTTTTTTTAAACATGCAGTAGTCAAATCCAGAAACACAAAATGAGACACAGTGTGCATATAACCCAGAGTTTGCTGAGGCAGCGTCTACCTGAGTCCTCTCTACTTTTATAAATCCCTCTGCTTCTAAACACATGACTCAGAATACCTGGGCAGATGAGTACAAGCCAATACGAAGTATTTACAGAAATCTTGTTTTTATTGATGACTTCCAGGTGACGCCATGACCTACCATCAAGGCCGGCCCTGGACCACCATGGACTCGGATAATGATCTTGCGTTGACTAACTGTGCCAGGACCCACAAAGGAGCTTGGTGGTATGCAAACTGTCACTTGGCCAACCTTAATGGTAAATGGGGAGACAACGCACACAGTGTGGTGAGTGAACAAGGAGGACACTTTGCCTTTATTACCTGGCTTGCTGAATGCTTTTCAAAATGAGTCTGGCCGACGAGTCAGGTCGGTGCTCAGTATGCCTCGGTGAAGTAAATGTACATAGTTGCAAGATTAATGTAGCATTTCTTTGCAAAAACAGCATTTAGGTAGAAGTGGTCACACTATTAAAGGGGAAGAAATTACTTTTTTTTTTCTTTTTTTTTGGTAATTTTAGATGAGGTTTTAGAACACAATACACTTTTTTAAGTCTGATTTCGTCACCTTGCTATTTTCCTTTGCCTTATTTTTAATTTCTAATTATTTTTGAACCCCTTTCATTCCATTTATTATGTTCTTGAGTACATTAGCTGTCAGTCAAAGTCAGACTAAAGCAACATCACCAATTCCCAGAAATATTAGTAATTGTAACAGTAAATAATGTTATTAAATGTTATTGAAAATCTTGTTGAGAGTTTTAAAGGTTTTACAATTTCCTGTTATTCAAATCTTCTTTTACAATTATTTGCACCCTCCCCAGTAAAGATTTACTAAAGGTCCTAAAATAACCCTTCTTTTGCTTAAGCATAAACTCATAATGCATTTTTAGAAAACAATTCTACTTTTAATTTTAGTGCATTTAATCAGAGGGATTATCTGGTATCTTATAAGCATTCTTTGTCAACGGAACTTCATATATCCTGACCAACATGCAGCATGTGGAAGATTTATTAACTCTCCATCTTTGCACGCACAATATTTTTGTTGCGATTTTATGCTACTGGAATATTAAAAAAAAACATATTTGATTACTTATTTGATTACTTTTTTACATATCTTCACATCTTCATTAGGAGAGGCGATAACCACTGGGAGAACTGCATATTTCTGGTCATTTTCTACAGAAGAATTACATTTTACATGCAACTTTTGCCACAAAAATATCTGTTTCCTCTGCTGCACTTTCTAAAAGTATACCGTAACACAACTATTAGAAAACATATCATGGTTATGTAGGATCTCTTACAGCTATGCTTAATTAAAGACATAAGGAAATTACTCAGAATGAGGATATTTCTTTAGAAATTAGGACAACTTGCTCCCAGCCCTTTACTTACTGCTTGGTTTCTGTAATGCTGGGGAACAGCCAAAATGACTAAAATCCATCATCCAACGATAAGAAAACACATTTCAAGAGCCAGCTGTAAACCAGTAGTGTGTGTCGGTAGTCTGATAGGCAAAAAAAAAAAAAAAAAACAGCAGTTATTATGTCTTAGAGAGACGGACACTTCAGAAAAAGCCAGGGGATTTCTCTGCTCTTGTCAAGTTTCTATTCGTAGCATTTTTGCTGCAGATCTCAACTTCAGTGTTTGCTGCCAAAATGCAATAACAGTCAAAACAGGTTTGTACTCACATAATATGGACCCTGAGGCCGGTATTTATTACTTTCTTTTATTCTGCTTGTCTGTCATGCCACTTTCTTTTTCTGTGGCCCTGAATCTGTCTCTACCTTGCCTTCTTCACAATTCTGTTACCTCTCTCACCCCCCTCTACTCACTGTGCTCCTGATTTGCTGTTTTGCTGTTAGGGAGTCAACTGGGAGCCATGGAAAGGACATCTAACATCCCTGGACTTCACAGAGATGAAGATCCGACCGGTGGGAGCGTTGTCCAGCAGAAAGAGGCGATCGCTGATGGCCAGAGAGGGAAAAAGTAGAGTCTCAAACGGCTACAACAAATAGGAAAGCGGCCAAAAACTGCAACAGAAGCAGTCGGCACCATCAACCTTTGATCACACTAGATTTTGGTGTTTCTGTACAAATGTAGATAGACCACACAAGGATTTTGCAGACGTGTGCTTCAAATATTGTATAATTTTTGGAGAAGGATGAGCATAACCAAAGCAACCAAAAATAACCCGCAGTAACTTTGATTTTGTTTGTAAACAAATCAGAAAGCCCCGGTTTAGTGTGATTGTGGGGGAAAAAAATGGTCAACAAGAAACTCGGTTGAATGAAGTCGCATGCTACGTGGAAGAACATGCATTTGTAGACAATCATGTCTTGCTGTTTTTTTAGACAACCTGACTAAAAACCTGAAAAAAATATAATGCCAAATAAAGTTTTTCTTTTATCTCCTATTATTATATTAATCTTAACCCTGTTTTAGAGTCATAGCTACGTTCCAATTTGAATTACATCCTCTGGGATATAATTCAAATATCCAGCATCCAAATAAGCAGCGTTGCTTGTGTGTTTAATGAATGGCTCATTTGTCAGCTGCTGAAGCATGTGCCCTTACTCTATTGATTATGCTGCCACTGTGCATCCAACACTGTCACATCACATAAGGCGGTATGACACAGGCCAGAAAATAACAACTGATTGCAGCCTCGAAAATCCAAATTGCTCCTGCTTTACATTCATATGACGGGGGACAGCTCGTATCAATCAATGTGACGTGTCCCCATCAAACGTCAATAACAATGACATTTGTTTGTGCCGCTCTCGAAAACCGAATGACCAAACTCCCGTTTTTAATCTGGAAAGCTGACATATGCTATTAATGTTGCGCTGGCTCCTACTCTGCTTAATTAGATTTTCTTAACACTTTTATCACAAACACAGTTTATGTGACAAGGACGTAGAGCACATCAATCAGCTTTTCAGCCAATCTGCCAGAATGGATTTGAAGTTGGTGAACTTTATAGGATTTTTTTTTTTTTTTTTATGCTGCAAAGCTTTTCATTTTAAAATTTTGTAACTAATTAGAATTATTGAACATTTTCAAACCAGATCCTGATTAATAATATTTTCCTTACTAATTATGTTTTCAAACTGACATTATTAATTCTTTTTCACTGTAGTGTCACAAAATAAATCTGTTTTAATGAGTCCCTTGACCTTTTTTTTTCATGTTTTTTTAGTCTTATGTTGTGTGGTGTAGTTACAGCTCCTCTGTAAGGTTTGGATGTGGGGCAAAGGCTCAGGAGTAGTCCTAGAAGAAACTAGTTAGCACAGCTTTGATTCATTTTTCGCTTCTTATCTCCAGTGAGCTGTGTGTGTGTGTGTTTTAAATCGGAGATGGATCCATTTGTCATTATTTTATTTTGCTGTGGGACAAATCCAAACCCTTGGAAAGCTCTGTTTTTTGTTTTGTTTTTTTTTTTTTTT